TGACACAACCGCAGACCCCCGGTAACATCCAGCCGGTTCCTCGTTCTCGCGGGTTTCTCAGAAAGAACACTTGCGACTCCTTTGTTTGCCACATCTCCATACCATTAGTCCCATAAGTTCACTTGGCAGTCACGCTCGTGCAGAATACGGTGGTAGCTGGTAGATGGACAGAGGGAACATTCTAAGCTATTAACACAATGCATATATTCCATTAAAATCGGACGCAATTTCATTTCACCTCCCCCATACCGCAGATTTCACACCTCACACCGACCGCACACTAGCAGTGCGTCGCCGTTCCACATTGCCATGGAAACCACGCCAGCTGAGCTTTATCTTCGGAAAAACGCAGTTTTATCAGCTGATCAATATTTGATATATATATATATATATACATATATATATATATATATATATATATATATATATATATATATATATATATATATATATATATACATATACATAGTTGCTTAATTTGTCTACCTCCTAGCCACCTCCGAAATGCCGAGAAGAATAAACAGAATAAAATAGAATATTCTAGAATATCTGGAATAGAATATCTAGAAGAACCGTGCAAAATGCTAACATACTTTTGGAAAAAATCATCTGAAAGTTCCATTCCCTTCTTTTGAGCTGCGTCTCAAGCTTTTCGGCATATCACGTGCCCAAAGTGCATTTTTTATCATCAGAAGCTGCATTTCAACACATACAAACCTTGCTTGTGTCTGACATTGTTGTGGATGATTTAAATTGATTATGACACGTTAGATAGAGTGTTTTTTTGTGTGAGCAATAAAGAGTCAATAAAATAGCACCGTTGTTCCGCATTCCCACACGGAATAACCTCTCCACCAGCAGCCTTAAATCCTTGACGTCATATCCCCTTTGGGTTTTAGATAAACGAAACATGCCAACTAGCTTCCCTATCTGCGGCCTTGATGAGCGACGCGCGGTGGCGTCACATTACTGTGCGAGATGCAGTGGGGGGGGGGGGGGGGTTATGGTTGATGCGTGATTTCATTGGAAATCATTTTGTGCTATTCTGATATAAACTGATATATATATATATATATATATATATATATATATATATATATATATATATATATAATTCATTATTTCCGTGATATCCGCACGGAATAGCGGGGCTTTCCTTTCGGGATAACATTAGGCAGGTAACAGCCCAGTTGCAGACCTAGCAGGTCTGCATCATTCCTGTGTCTGACAAGTTATTGATGTTGTTCCTCTGAATTTGTGGTGTTATTTACGCTGAAGAACGGCAAATTTGTTTTATGGTATATGCTGAACAGCCTGAGCAGATAACCAGCAATGTTCATAGACCTAATTTTATTAATTTACATTAAGAACAGTATACATTGCCAGACCTGAAAAGTGGGGAGTGTAAGCAGCAACTGCTGTAAAGAAATCCTCGTAAGATTCTGTTTCTTGCTGGCTCCTGAACATAGTTTTAGAATGGATCTTGGTTCTTGCTGAAATTGAATCTCCACCTTAGGCCTGAGCTGGATCTTGGTTCTTGCTGGATCCCTCAACATAATTCCAGGCTGGATCTTTCAGCCTGGATCTTGGTTCTTGTTGCATCTTTTGGCTTATTGTCAAGCTGGATCCTCGTTCTTGCTGGATCTTTCGACGTATTGTCAAGCTGGATCCTGGCTCTTGCTGGATCTTTCGACTTATTGCCAGACTGGTTCCTGGGTTCTTCCTGGTTACGGAACCAGGAACCAGGAACCGGTTCCCGGGAAGAAATCTTGGGGACTAGGCACAAGTCTGATCCTGAGGTAATCAAGAAAGGCCTAAAGAACGAAACAGCGCTTCAAAGCCTGGATGTGCGTCATGAGGGCTTAAAGGGTGCCGATGACGTTCAAAATATGTTCGAGGATTAGGTCTGAGACCCTCGGAAAGCCGGCGTGGTATCCAAAACTAGGATAGGACCATCTTCGAGGGCCAAAAGGACGTCCCTGAGATGTGGAAGCAACTCCCGAAGTCTAGAAGAGCTCGCTAAAGAATACAAGGGAGCCCAAAATCATGAGGGAAGCCTCTAAGGCTCAAAAGATGTTCCTGCGGTACAAATGCTTGCTTCGATTGCCAGAAAGAAGTGCGTTCCGTAAAACCTTACGGGAGCCTACTGATAGCTTATGGGGCACCATGACATGAAAGCATGTCGCAAGCGTCAAAATATTGTCTTTAGGAACTGCACGTCGTCCAAGTTCGCGGTTCGTCACTTCTCTGCTCCCTATCCCTGCAACAACGTCTTAAAAAACGAGATATCGATTACCTCAGCACCAGCGTTATCACATACGTCACAGGCAGGTCGTTGACAACAGGGGCAGCGCCATCTTCTTTACAAAAGACGCGCCGCATGCCAAGCGTATACATTTCGGGCGCCTAAGATCATTGCAAGAAAGCCATGCCCCTATCCAAAGACATGAAATGCCTGTTCACGAAAGACTAGTCTAACCACTTACTTTAATGTTCCAACAATTGACGACAGAGTTCTGAATACGCATAATTTCATTAGTTGCTATAAGGTTTCTGCAGGTATCTGAGCCTTCTGCTTCTTAACTGTTACCAGCTTTGATCCATCAACGTTCACGTTTTACCGTGGGTCTCCAGCAATGACCTGTTCTGATGCGCCCAGAGCGCTCCATCTTTTCTGCTTTCAGCGGGGGAGGCTGCCGCCAGAATGACATGGCAAGTGCACAGTTCGATTGTCTATGTGTGGCAGGGGGTACATGCCTCATGCACCATTTAGTTGATCTTATATTGACTCCTGGACTTCTTAATGACAGCGACAGCCAGCAAGAGCGAGTGACGTGTTATGGGGGGAGTCCAAGTGGAGAGATTATATTTTGTGCCCTCTAAAATTGATGCAGTATATAAATGTAGTTATGCATTTGGCTATTAAGCTACGATGCACGACAAATAACGCGCACAGTATTCACCTATGATTCTCGACGTAGACAAAGCAAGGCCAGCGACATATGAGCATGACGCGCGGATAGACGGCGCCCGGATAGACGTGTATCACCCGCTGTGATATCTTCGCATAACACCATGAGTCCCCGCTAACCGCTCGCGGGTTTCCCGTCCTCAAAACAAGCGGGATGATATCGACGTGGTAGTGCGTCAGCGCGGTCAGTGGTGGAAGAAGAGTTATTATACAAGAGTTATTGTACACTCTTATTATACAAGAGAATTCATATACATATATATATATATATATATATATATATATATATGTGTGTGTGTGTGTATACATATAGAAGAAATTCTTATAGATGAGAACTACTCTTATTGTAGTTCATGTTGACATCATTCTGGTTTGAGGTGGCTCAACGGACAGGTTTGTGATACCGTGGCAGGTTATGTGCGCGTAAAGTACATATTTGATTGACCCTTGTAGTTAATCTGGCCTCATCCCTATATCATTCAATGTCATAGCGACCAACAGTGCTGCCTGTAAAGCTGGCATTATCTTTTAGTCATATGACATCAGCTGAGGTTTTATCAGGCACTTGGCAGTCGTCTTGACAGGAATTACAACTGTTAGCGAGCAAACGGGCCGTCGCTGCCGGCGCGGCGGCGGCGGCTCCGCGAGGGTGTGAGCGTCCCCTCTGACGATTGGTTCCCACCATCTGGAGCCCACAAACCCACGTGGGTGTATGGGGACACGCGGGCGGGACGCACGGTTCCTGCCGAGCAGTCCACGTTCAGACTCCGCCGGCGCGGCTCGACACGAGCCGCGACAGCGTTTACGACGACGACGACGACTTCGGAGTGTGCGACGCCGCCCTTCCAACCCCTCTGTCACCCCTGCCTTGCAACTCTTTGGCTAATAGAGACTCTGTCCTTCCAACGTCTCAAGTCGATGGTCCTCCGGAATACTAACGAACTCTTCCGCACGAACAACAACTATGGTTTACCAAAGCATCATCAATGGGTGTTTCACATCGGTATGAATCGATCAGCAATACCTCTTTGGTTTGAACACATGTTCTGAGTCTGTCCCTGCTCATCCTTTTAAGGATCAGTTAGCGGTTTTTAATTGCATTTTCTTGACTTTCACCCCGTGCAATCCGCGTGAACAACACATTTTAATGTTTGGAAATGTTAGTTGTTTTTTCGTACTTTCGGGAAATGTTATGATCCAATCAAACCCGATCCATGGATGAATCCGAAATTCGTGGATTTCACAATAGCTGGAGTGCTCTACTTCGAACATAATTTCACTTCTTCGTAACCTGCACCCGCTGACACCTCCCAGCGGCTTAGGCACACAATTTCGCTTCTTCATAACCTGCGCCGCTGCCTCTCAGCCGCCTTTTTAACAGCACTGGTTTAGGAGTAACTTTCTGGAGCGAGATCCAAGGAAAGTAGCCAACCTCATTTCAAGCGTCTTAGCAAGGGATCTAAAAAGTTAGTGGAGCAGAGTATCCCCGGATGGTGGCTACAATCAGGTGTCTCCTGTCGCCGCTTCAGGCGAGTCAAACTCCGGACAGCGTTTTCGATTACGATTATGCTTATTTTGATTATGTCGGTGCTGTTAATTCCCGGCGGCTGTGATGTGTTGCTCGCCCAGCGAGTAGCATGGACGCAAACAATAGTTCTTGAAAAAACAAAGCACCACCGTAGTCTTCAAACATGATCATCTTAAAATTCCAGGCAGCAGCCTCCAGTATCTCAACGTCGCCCGTATGAATGGCGGTCTCTTATGCACATCGTGCTATACTAGGATAATCAATGCGTCGTTTATGCGCCCTCCGGCGCCCATCCGCCGCCGTGCCCCGCCCGTCGGCTCCCGCTCTCGCCCGCCGCCAGCAACAGATGGCGGCTGATTTATGTGGGCGCGCGGGACCGGCGTCTCCGCGGCGGAGGAGCCCGCGGCGGCGGACGGCGCGGGCCAGTCGCGGCGGTGCGTGCTGAGGGAGAGCAGCCGGCATACTCTGCGACATCTTGAGGACGAAACCGGTAGAGCGTTTGCAGAATCGGCCAACGAACGGTAAGCTTTGTGGGGAACGCCCGAGCTCGTCCCTTTAGACAAGCAGAGCCGATTTGCGTGAGCCTCTTATGTAATGTTTACTGACATTTGACAGATTCAGGCATCTCTATTCATCTTCAGCGGACGCCGGGTGTCAAGCAATAGAACGGACAGTTTTGACCTTTGAGAAATAGCTGACGTGAAATCGCGCTGGAGTGATCGTCTTTTCCCTGTGGAACTAGAAGCCGCTCGTGCTACAAACATGTTAGCAAGTAATCAATTATGGAGCAAGTCGCCACCACGTTGGTGCCTTACTCTTTCTTGTGAAAAATCTTGAAAAAGTGTAAAACCTATCCTGAAAATACACCAAAAAATATGTTTCACCATGGATTCGGCCATGTTCTTCCCAAATTGTGAGAGGACGGGTGGACTGGATGAAACCGCATCCTTGTACATGGGGGGGGGGGGGGGGAAGATGACAGTAAACACTAGTATGCGTGTCATCGTCTGCACCTCAGAGGAAATCCGGGAGAGATTTCTTTGTTGTATGTGAGGGCCTTGCCAATTTAGGAATTAAATCCAAAGCAGAAACTCTAGATGGTTACGTAGCCAACCACGAAAAAATGAAGCCAATGGCTCAGTTGGGTAGTGTAGAAAATGTGAAATAAAATGGCAATTTCATCAATTCGTGGCTACTGGGCGCTCAATATGTTAAAGGGAGTGTTCCACATTTGTATGGGGTTTTGAACTCAAATAGCCATCTTGGAAATCAGTCAGTGTAGTTCACAGCTTTGCTCTTCTTAAGACCTAAGCCCCTCTATTTCTGAGCTATACGCCCATCCATGACGCTAGAATAACGCCATTCAAATCCTGCCATTCCACTGGCCATGCGGTGATTAAGGTCAGTACAAATATAATTGTCGAGCCGCTCATATCTGACGTTCGCGGGGGCGATTTTCAAATATGACGGCCGTTAGTAGGCTCTCAATCTTTGTTCTGCCAGGTACGATGACGTAATCAAAAATGACGTACTGAGGGGCACAAATACTTGACAGTGAAATTGTGCTGTCTCAAGCAGTCTTTTCCACTTAAAAAGTACACTTATAGCTATAAGTGAGCTTATTTTATCATATCTGATGCTTGCTTCAATATCTCCAAATGTACAGCACTCCCTTTAAGACGAAGATCGCGGACAGTGTCAGACGAGACAACAGGCAGTATTGTTTGAAGTTTGAGAAGAGTTCTTCCACGGAGGTCGTAACATTCGGGTGTGGTCGCCTCGCCCAGTCTGAGGCTTGGGTCTGAGGCAATGACAACGAAATCTCGCGAGAACGGCCGTATTCTCATGGAAGGTTAAGTGGTGTCGCAACTTCTTACCGCTTCGTTTGTTACGGCAACCGAATCGTGCCGCGATTAGTTGCTGCGATTTTCTTGCCACGATTTTTAACACGCGCCCAGGTGGCCGGCTAGATACCCTTTGCTCGGATGGGGGTAGAGGGCAATTTGACCCCCACTGAAATCTCGGGAACTAAGAAAGCTAGATACACCAAATTTACAGGGTGTGTTGAACTGTACGTAAACTCACTTACGTCAAAGTTTCAGGTTCCTAGGTTATGACCTTTGGGTCAAAAAAGGTCAAACAAGGTCAAATTTCAGGCTGGTCTCCAAAGTGCGCCCAGAACCTAGATAATCGTTTCTAAGCAAAAGGTGACATGCTCACTTATGGTCAGTGACCTTGTTTGACCTTTTGAAGGTCAACGTGACCAAAATCATACAAGATTGCTTTGAGTTTTGCATTTCACTAAGCGACAAAGATGACGCTAGGCAGTATGTTCCAAAAAAACAAAATGTTGACCTGGGTTATGTTAGGTCATTAGGTCAATGACCTAGTCTGGTGTCTAAGAAGTCCGTGGGAGATGTATAATGCGGTTCCTGCTATCAATAAATTCGAAATAAGCACCAGAAACTATCCCATACAGCAAGCCCTGGAGTAGCAAAACAGGTTGGTTTCGATCTTGGTGTGACACTCATACCTGACCTTAGGTTAATGTAACTTGCCCATTCAACTGCTGTGTTGCCTAAGAAAGCATCTCAGAGATGTATGGTTTCGTCTAACACTCCGTTGTGGTATCAGATTGAAGGATTCCCTAGAAATTGCCTTCGCTGAAATCATGGCCTGACTTTGACCTGCCATAGGCCAGCGACCTTACAAGGTACATATAATTTTTTCACCAAACGATCTGCCATTCAATTGTCTATAGCTGTACACAATTTGGCGTCGCTACGCCCCGCCGTTCGGAAACCATTCTGGAAAAACCTTCGGGAGGTCAATTTGACCCCCACCCGATCTCGTGTTAAGATATGGATGCCTTCACCTTTGTCTCTGCGACGCATCTTATGTTAAGTCGATACTTTTAATGTTGATTTTGCATGCTTAAAACAAACTTAGAAACAAACTTTTGCAACAAACTTAGCGGTGGGCGACGGTCGCTGGCGATGAAGTGACAGAAGTTGTGTTGATATTTAAATGGATAAAGTTACCGCTCATGAGCACTCGCTGGACAAAGGTGCACCCATCATAAATATATGAATAAAGATGAAGCACTGTCATTCAGTGTACCGAGCACAGACACCTTGATGAAAAACGAATAACACCCTGGTTAACACCAGCATAGATTCATGGTAGGAATACGGAGTTAAGATGGGGATTTATTACTTGCGGATTGGTGAGAACCGAACACGTTATGTAATCGAAGCTCAAACTGGAAGAAGTTGACGGTTAGTTAGTCGACCATAAGTTGGTGAGGGTTGAGCTGTCACTGGGCAGTAAAGAAACCGGAGAGCCACATTGGAATGAGTCGTTGCTACTGGGTATAGAACATGAAGCAAATCGGAACATGGCTTGCGTTTTCAGTCCACGCTACTGACACTGCGACCGTTTGTAAATATGCGATGTCGTTAACTGTACAAAGTGTTTTAAAGGAGATTGTGAAGAATGCCAGCAATGAAAATGTGCATCGTGCCAGGCGTGTTAAGAACTTGACAAAGGATTTAGGAACGGGCAAGTAACCTAAATGCTGTAATGGTCTTTCGTTTTGTTACAAGCATAATATTATCATCGTATTCCTTAGTTTATGCAATAATGTTCAGCAACGTATTTGCCTGCTTTCAACGTGACAATTGACTTTATGTGAATTACTAAAACCACATGCACGACCAGGGTGAACTACGACCACCAAAATCAGAGGAAGTGGGTGTGTATAAAAATGAAAGGCATTGGGCATGCTAAAGAAATTTGGAATTGCATATTTCCAGCATCTGAATATCACGTCGTAGCACCCGCGTATTGCATGGCCTTTCCGGTTCCAGGCCATCAGCGCAGCGCTTCAAAAATGCTATATATATATATATATATATATATATATCTATAATACACCACACACACACACACACCACCACACCACCACAACACACAACGAACGCACGCACGGCACGCACGCACGCACGCACGCACGCACGCACGCACCCACACGCGCAACGCGCACGCCGCCACACCGCACACGCACACGCACACGCACACGCACACGCAAGTATCTGTATATGTATATATATATATATATATATATATCTATATATAACATATTATATATATATATATATATATATATATATATATATATATATATATATATTCGATTTTTTGGGTTATCGCAAGTGTTTGAAAGGTTTGACTTTTGCCCAGTTCTGATGTCGGCATACGAAACTTGTCTTCTCTCGCATTTTTCGGCAAAAAATAACGGGAAGCATATAAAGAAACATTTTACTAACTTCAGTTTGACCTGGATCTTATTCCCCGCATTCTGCAATGTTTATGGTCGTTGGCAACAGAACACCAAGAAAATGTCTTCAAAACGAAATGCTAGTAACTAAATGCTAGTTTCAGATAAAAGTAATTGAAACCAACATTTCTCCAGGATTCAACTTACTTTCTTAGGGCTGCTGCAGTAGACCTGGTAAATCAAATTAGCCTCTTTTTGAAGTTTAATTACTTTTCAATCCGTGTAAGCTGTGAGGATTGGCAAATTGTAAAATCTGCCCCATTCTAGCCTGTTCGTTGTTTGAATTTTCTCGCTCGGTTTAGTCTGCTCTACGGATCAGCCTGTCGTCCGCGGATTGGATCAATTCGTAGTGTGCTCTGCTGAACAGTCGACTGAGAGACAGTTTTACTGTCAGGTCATATAAGTGAAAGGACCTACCCATTCCGTTCGTCTATTGTGCTACCTTGTTTTTGAAATTATGTCACAATACTGGTGAATTTTCGGTTCGATGCATTACATCGGTTTGAATCGTAATTGTGTGACGTAAATGTGTCATCACTACACGGATATTATATTTTGTAAGTCGGTCGTCATCAGATTTTAACTAATCATATGGTTCTGATCTTTCGAGAACGTGTTATAACTGCATCCGACTTAAGCATGAAACATTGCTAACTTTATTGCAAGTGTGCACACTAGATCATTTAATATATCGCTGTACTCGGAGCTTTATATCGCCATTAAAATTACTGGCCCGGACCAGACTCATGGCCAGCCAACGTTTAAGTAATGCTTACGAAGTAGCGCGCGGAGCCTGTGTCTGGAGACTCGGCTTGTCAGATTGGAGTGATGGTTTGACTGAACAACTCATTGATCAGACCAACTGGTATCGGTTGCCAAAGTCGTCTGGCAGCAATAGCTCAGTGCAGGAGGTTTCTAACTGCCTGGCGGCACAGCTAGACGAGTGACTTTCCCCGCTCGTGCCAGTCGTCTCGAATCAGCAAAAGATAAACACTTAGTCCAAAACTTATATTTGTCTGCATCTAATAGATGTGCCTTTCTAGCCCGTGGGCTCGCGATGAAAGGGCTGAAAAAACCGCATGGACTTTTAGCGGATATTGCTGGCTACATTGCGGGTATTGGCGGGTATTCTTCATAAAAAATTCTCCAATTTTGCTTTTTACCCTCAAATGTATGCGTAAT